GAAACCAATTTTACCACATATGGTAACTAAGTAGAATTTAAATAAAAGCTTGAAATAATTGAAAAAAAACCCTATCATCTTAGGCTGCTCCCCAGCACAGAGACACCTCACAATAACAACAACAAAATTTTCAAATCCTGAGATAAAGAGAGAATCTTGTTTCCAGGATTACATTATAAAATTGATATATCCAGTTTTAATAAAGAAAAGAAAGGCATACAAAGAAATACTAAAGTGTATCCCATTCAAAAGAACAAAATAAATCAACACATACTGTATTTAAGGAAACCCAGATAAGAAAAAGACTTAAAATTCTCTTTAAGATGTTCAAAGGGTGGGGCGCCTGGGTGGCTTAGTCGGTAAAGCGTCCGACGTTCGCTTAGGTCATGATCTCGCGGTTCGTGGGTTCGAGCCCTATGTCGGGCTCTGTGCTGACTGCCAGCTCAGAGCCTGGAGCCTGTTTCAGTCTGTGACTCCCTCTCTCTCTCACCCTCCCCTGCTCACGCTGTCTCTCTCTCTNAAAAAAAAAAAAAAAAAAAAAAAAAAAAAAAAAAAAAAAAAAAAAAAAAAAAAAAAAAAAAAAAAAAAAGATGCTCAAAGGGCTAAGTGAAGACATGAAAAAAGACAGGAAATGATGTAAGAACAAAGTGAAAATGGCAATAAAAACAGCAAGATGTTAAAAAAAAAATGAGCCCCCCCCAAAATTATGGAGTTGAAAGTACAATAACTAAAATTAAAAAAATATATACTAGAGGGGTTGGGGACCCTGGGTGGCCAAGTCAGTTGAGCATCTGACTTTGGCTCAGGTAACGATCTTGTGGTCCATGAGTTCAAGCTCTGCATTGGGTCATGTGCTGACAGCTCAGAACCTGAAGCCTGCTTTGGAGTGTGTATTTCCCTCTCTCTCTGCCCCTCCCTAGCTCATTCTCTCTCTCTCTCTCTCTCTCTCTCAAAGGTAAATAAACATTAAAAAAAATACTAGAGAGGTTTAAAGAATTTGAGCAAGCAGAAAAAACTAGACTTTAAATCTAAATAAGTTAAAGCAGACTAAGAAGGACATTATATAACAATTAAAGGTTTAATAGATCAAGAATATATCATTATAAACATTTACACAACTCCTAACAGATCCTCAAAATATATAAAGCAACAACTGATAAACAGAAGGGCAAAATGGACAGTTCTACAAAAATAGTTGGAGACTTCAATACCCCTTTTTTAATATTAGACAGATCAACCAAAGAAGATGAGTAAAGAAATAGAGAACTTGAACAACAAAATTAACCAGCTAGACCTAAGAGACATGTTCAGAACAATTCTTCCAACCATAAAATACTCAAGTGGATGTTCTTTTCAAGCAAGTATCATATGTTAGGCCACAAAATAAATAACAATAGATTTTAAAGGACAGAGATCATAAAAAAATATCTCCTCTGACTAGAAAAGGATAGAGCTAGAAATCAGTAACAAAAGGCAAAATGGAAAATTAACAAATATGGAGAAATTAACAACACACTTTTAAACAATCAACTGGTAAAAGAAGATATCAGAAGAGAAAGTAGAAAATAGAGAGAAATAAACACACAATAAAACAAAACTTGTAAGATGTAATGAAAACAGTGGTAAAAGAAAATTTTACAGTTGTAAATGCTTAATGAGAAAAGAAAGATCTTGAATTTACAACTTGATTTACAATTAAGGAATTAGAACAAACTAAACCAAATGATAGCAGAAGGAAGGAAATAAAGGTTAGATCATAAATAGACAAAATAGAGAATAGAAAAACAAAAGAGAACATCAACAGAACCAAAAGTTGGTTCCTTGAAAAGATTAACAGAAGTGACAAATCTGTAGTTATACTGACAAAGGAAATAAAAGACAGGGTGCAAATAACCATAATCAGAAATGATTGTGGGAACATTACTACCAACTTGCAGACATAAAAAGGAGCATAAGAGAATTCTATGACAATTGTATACCAACAAACTGATAACTTATAAGAAAGGGGAAAATTACAACAGATCTCAAAAATTAAAACCAGAATTACCAAATGATCCAGCGAATCCAATTCTGGGCATATTTACCCAGAAGAATTGAAGGCAGGGTTTCAAAGACTTATTGTACACTCATATTTATAACAGAGTTATTCACAACAGACCAAAGGTAGAATCAATCCAAATGTCCACTGACAGATGAATGGATAAACACAATATGGTATACATATCCAATGGAGCATTATTATTCAGTCTTAAAATTAAGTAAATTTTGAACATGTTACAACATAGATGAATGAAGCTTGAGGATAACTAAGTGAAATAAGTCACTCACAAAAAAGAATAATACTGCAAGATTACACATATATAAATTACCCAGAGTAATCAAACTCACAGAGACCAGAGGTAGAAGAATAATTTCCAAGGGCTACGGTGGGGGAAATGAGATATGGTGTTTCATTTCTGCAAGATAAAAAGCTTTCTGGACACTGGATACATAAACCTGATCTAATAAATATTACTGAACTGGTAGGGATGGGAAGGATGGTAAATTCTGTTATATGTATAAATATGTTATATATACTTCACCACAACTAAAATTTTTTTAAAAAAACACATGTAACTGGTGTAAGGACACACACATAAACCAATGGGATAGTATAGAAAGCCCAGAGATAAAGCCTTACATATATGGTCAACTGATTTTCAACAGGAAAAGTTTTTTTTTCCCCTCCTAAGTAAGCTCCACACCCAGCACAGAGCCCAACACAGAGCCCAATGCAGGGCTTGAACTCACAACCCTGAGATCAAGAGCCAGATTCTTAACTGACTGAGTGACCCAAGCATGCCAAGGAAAGGAAAGTCTTAAGAATGAAAGCTGTTGGGGCATCTGGCCAGCTCAGTTGGTGGAACATAAGACTGTTGATCTTGGGGTTGTGAATTTGAGCCCCACATTGGTTATAGAGATTTATAATAATAATAAGAAGAAAATGAATGCTGCTAGGAAAAGTGGATATCCCATGAAAAAGAATGAAATTAATTGCTTACCTTACATTATATACAAAAATTAACTCCAAATCCAGTAAGTTTAATCCCTAAGTTTAGTCAAAGATCTGAATTTAAGAGCTAAAACTGTAAAAACTCAGTAGAAAACACTGGAGAAAATAATCATGACACTGGATTTGGCAACATTTGCATGGATATAACCAAAGGACTGACAACAACAACAACACCCCAGTTTCATTAAAATTAAGATTTTCTTGCATCCAAGGATACTATCAAGAAGGTGAGGAGACAAAATACTCACTGGGAAAAAATATTTAAAAACTATATATCTGCTAAGGAATTAATATTCAGAAAATATAAAAATTCCTGACACTCAACAACAACAAAGCAAACAACGTAATTAAAGATAACCAAAAGACTTGAAAAACATCTCTCCAGAGAAGACATACAAATGGCCAACAATCACATGAAAAGGTACTCACTATCATTAGTCATTAGGGAAATGCAAATCAAAACCAAAATGAAATACTACTTCACACTTACTAGGATGGCTATAGTCAAAAATGAAAGATAAAAAGAGGTGGCGAGGATATATAGGAACTAGAACCCTCCTACACTGCAGCTAGAAAAGTAAAGTGGTGCAGCCCCTGTAGAAAAGAGTTTCTCAAGAAGTTAAACATAGGACTAACATATGACTCAGCAATACAATTCCTAGGTAAATGTCCAAAGGAACTGGAAGCACAGATTCAAACAGGTATCTGCAGACCAATAACAGCAGCATTATTCACAATAGCCAAAAGGTAGAAAGAGTCCAAGTGTCTATCAGCAGATGAATGTATAAATAAAATGTGGTATATACACAATAGAATGTTGTTCATTCATAAAAAATAAGGAAATTTTAATTTATGCTACAACATGGATGACCCTTGAAAACATATAATAAGCCAGACACAAAAGGTCAAATATTGCATGATTTCGCTTAAGTTACCTATAATAGTCAAATTCAGAGACAGAAACCAGAATAGCAGTTGCCAGGGACTAGTGGAAAAAGGTAGAGTTATTGTTTTTGTTATATAGTTTATGATGAAGATGGTATTTTAAAAGTTTTGGAATAGACAGTGGTAATGGGTACACCATTATCTTGTGAGTGTATTTGAGTGTATTTAATGGCACTGTGTTATACATTCACAAATGGTTAAAAAGAAAAATGTTACATCATGTATATTTTGCCACAATAAAATAAAGAATAGAGAAAGAATAAAACCAAGAGTTGATTCTTTAAGAATATATTTTAAAATAGCCAAAATGGCCAAAAAAATAAAAGATAAATCAGCAATGAATTAAGAATGAAAATAACCAATAATACTAAGGATATTTAATATCATAAAGGAATAAATAAAAGAACAGGTATAAGACAATAAATTTTAGATACTAGAAAACATAAAATGAGAAGAGCTGGTAGAAGAAGAAATAGGAAGCTTAAAGAGATCAATAAACATTAAAGAAATGAAAATACATCAAACACCAGTCTCTAAAAAATTCTCCAGGTCTTGATAGTTTGATTTGTGAGATCTAATAAAGTTTCAAGGAAAACATTCTTTTTCTTTTTAAATTTTTTTTAATGTTTTATTTATTTCTAGAAGAGAGAGAGAGAGACAGCGTGAGCAGGGGAGGGTCAGAGAGAGAGGGAGTCACAGACTCTGAAACAGGCTCCAGGCTCTGAGCTGGCAGTCAGCACAGAGCCTGACGCGGGGCTGGAACCCACGAAATGTGAGATCATGACCTAAGCGAAAGTCGGATGCTTAACCGACTAAGCCACCCAGGTGCCCCTCAAGGAAAACATTCTTAAATACCTTCAGATGCTCGTAAAAAGATTCATAAATATGAGGGAAAGCTCACATAAACATGTGTACACCCAAGTGTGCACGTGCACACACATACACCCAAGCATGCACATGCACACACACACACCCAGACACACACAGCCCAGCTCACCAATGGATGGGTCCTGAAGGACAAATCTCTCTAGTAATGACCAATCTTTACTTAGATGCTTCAGCACCTTGTACATATCCACGAACTTTCTCAAGTGTTCCTTATCTTCAGGTATTAAAAGTTTCAGTGTATCTCTTTTCTCAGCCCAGCTATGGGATTTGTTGCGGGGTGGGGGGGTGGGGGGAATGGGGGATGAGAAAATAAAAATAATTAATTCAAAATTAAGATATTTTATTTTATAATAAATTTTAAAAGCACATCTCAAATATTCTGACTTTATTATGTACCAGAGCCTAGAATAAAAAATTAAAAACATTATGTCCATTAATCTTTCCAACTGTCAATACTCATCAAGTATGAACACTCCCCCACCCCCTTCAACATTACAGATAAAACCAGGTCACAGAAGTTAAGTTATATGACTTCCCAAAGTCATACAACTGGTAAATAATACAGTTATGATATACGCCCAGGTGGGTAAAACCCCAAAACTAATGCTTTTAATCACTAAGCTATAATTGCCTCACAGATTAGCAAGCACATCAGCAACATCTAGTAGAATAGGTTAGGAAAGAAAGTAAGTACAGCCACACACTGTCAGCTACATATAATCCTTCTGAGGGAACACTGCAATTCCAGAATCTAACCATTTTATTCTTATGCCTTACCCTCCAGGAAAAGTCAGAATGTGTGTAAAGATGTTTTAACAAATTGTTCACTGAAGCATTTTCTAAATATTTAAAATATTCAAGAAAAGAAAATTTATTAAATTATGTCACATGTACTTAATAAAATATGGCAACATCAAAATAACGATGAAACACACATTCACTAACAGAAAGGCATTAGCTACCAAGTCATATTACTAAAAAAACATTATAATCCAATTTTGGTCAAAACTTAATTTAACTAAATTTTGTTAAAAGAAATACATATTTTTGTGATCATATATTCAGAAAAAAAGTCTGTACAAAGACATCATGATTATCTCCACTGAGTAGATTATGAATGTTTTTTACTGTCTTCTTTATCCTGACAACTATCATGTTGTTGCCATCTCTGCTGTCATGCTGGTAATAGCCTTCCAGCTTCCTACAAAAATAACTCAATTCAGGTATTCAGCCCTGTCCACAGAGCAATCTCCTTCAAGGAATGCTAGGGCCATCAATTGATCCTGTACTGAGCAGTCCAAGGCTCTAAGCTAATCATGGTGGTGCTAGTCATTTGTTTCAGAATGGGCAAGTAATACAATTTAGGTCAAGACATAAGCTCAGTGAGAGACATCAGAAAAGGTTTGTTCAATGTTATACATAAAAGTAAGAAATCGCTCTTTAGTTGTATGTGGTGCTATGTCTAAATATGACACCTAAAACCATTAAAGACATCTTGGTTGAAGACAGCTAATCTGAGGAGAGGCAGATATTTTAACAGCAGTAGAGAGAAAAGATAAAACCACCCAAGTTCATAACATTGTTGAGCCTCTCAATAAACTAGCCCTAAAATTGCCTGAACTTGGGATTTCTTTTTACATGTGACATTACATTTTCTTGTTTAAGTTATTACCCTCTACCAAAAAACATCCCTAAATAATTAAAAATATTTCTGAAGAGTCTTCATTTTGTTTGTAATGTGAATGTACGGTTTTTACATCTATACTTTTAGAAATATGGGATGCTTGGGTGGCTCAGTCAGTTAAGCATCTGGCTTCAACTCAGGTCATGATCTCACGGTTCATGAGTTTGAGTCCTGTATTGGTCTCTGTGCTGACAGTGTGGAGCCTGCTTGGGATTCTCTCTCTCTCTCTCTCTGCCCCTCCAACCATTTGCATTCTCTCTTTCAAAATAAACATACACATTTGAAAAAAATATTTAATTGTTAATATAGCCAGGAGGGGCACCTGGGTGGCTCAGCTGGTTGAGCATTCAACTCTTGATTTTGGCTCAGGTGAGGATCTCAGGGTCTGGAGTCGGGACCTGTGTCAGGCTCTGGTGGAGCCTTCTTGGGATTCTTTTCCTCTCCTTCTACCTGCCACCCTCTCCAAGCTCTCACCCTCTTGGAAGGAAGGAAGGAAGGGAGGGAGGGAGGGAGGGAGACAGGTCTCAATAGGTCAGGCAGCTGACTACACACTGCAGGAAGAGTACCAGTAATTGGGCATTCAAGTTGTGATCAGAACCCTAATGAAGCAACAAGAAGACACAGAGCCTGCACTGGAGCCTTGTCTTCTCCAGCCAGCTGAAGAGGTGAGCATTCTTAATAAAGTAACTGTTCCTTTCTACTCCAACCTCAAGAACCCTGGATTCATGCCCTAACTGTCCAGGTACCACCGATGACAAGGAGAATACATGAAAAAAGTGACAATGAGGAAAGTCCAATACAGGACAGAGTAACATGAGCAATTTCAAAGCAAGCATGTGAACTTTCAAGTCCACATTTTTTGAGCATGAACCATGAAGTGGGACACCTTTCTAAATTTTATCAAGCTCTTTGAGCAGCCTAGATTTTAAATGGACCCTGAAAACATAAAACTGGAAAAATAAGTGAAAACAAAGGTTTCCAGGCAGAAGCTATACGAAGACAATTTCAAAACAGAGACTACTAGGGAAAAACTGATGAGATTAGGCTGGCTGAAACAGAGGGTGGGTATAGGAAAGCAATCGGATTAAAAGCTCTAAGTGGCTAGAGACCACATAAAGAAGAGATACAGAATTTAATCTGCCCTATCAACTCTTCCCTCATGCTAATGAGATGAGAGATGAGAAGGGTAGAAGCCAACTGGGGCAGAATGTAGGAATCAAAGTAACTGATCACTATCTTTTTTTGGTAGAAATAAGTTTTTGAATTACATCTTTAAGAATTATATGTCTATTCACACTTTCAGATTTGGTATTTTCTAAGATATTTCATTTAACTTTTCAAAATCATTAGATGCAGTTGTTCATAAAATTCTTTATTAATTAAAAAATTATAGCTGTGATAAAAACACATCTAAAATTTACCATCTTAACCATTTTTAAGTGTATAGTTCAGGAGAGTTATCTATGTTCACACTGATGTGCAATCAACCTCCAGCATTTTTACATCTAATAAAACTGAAATTCTATATCCACTGAACAAGAACTCCCCATTTTCCTCTCTCCTGATGGCCCCTGGCAACCACCATTTATTCATCTTTCTGTATTTATGAATCTCACTATTCTAGATACCTCACATAACTCCAGATACCTGGAATCATACAGTATAAATCTTTTTATGACTGGCTTATTTCACTTGGCATAATGTCCTCAAGGTTCATCCATTTCATAGCTTGGACCATAAATTCCTTCCTCCTTAAGGCTAAATAATATTCCATATCATGTTTTATCCACTTATCTGGCAACGTACACTTGGATTGCTTCCATTCTATGACTACTGTGAATAAAAATGGTAGGAACATGGGTATACAAATAAGTCTGTAAGAATCTGCCCACTATTCTTTTGGATATACACCCAGAAGAGGAGTTATTAGATCATATAAGAATTCTATTTTTAATTTTCTGAGGAACTGCCATATTGTTTTCCACAGACACTACACCATTTCACATTCCTACCAACATTGTACACGGGTTACAATTTCTTCACATCCTTGCCAACACTTGTTAAATTTTCTGATTGTTTTCTAGTTTCTTGTTTTTGTATGTTTTTAATAGCAGCCATCCTACTGGGTGTAAGGTAGCATCTCATTGTGATTTTGATTTGTATTTCGCTAGTGATTAGGGCTACTGGGTGTACTTTCATATGTTTATTGGTCATTTGCATGTCTTCTTTGGAGAACCGTCTACTTAAGTCCTTTGACCGTTTTTGAATCAGGATGTTCATATATTTTTAACTTCATTGTATGTATAGTTATATCCCAATTACTCCTTTTAATAATGCTTATTTGTAATTTTTCTTTCTTTTTTTCTTGACCAATCCAGCTAGAGAATTACTTTGTTAATACTTACAAACTGTACCAGCTTCTCATTTTGATGATTCTCTAAATTTTTCTCCCCATTTAATTAATTTCTGCTTTATCTTTTTTTTAGTTTATTTATTTTAAGAGAGAGTGAGAGAGCAGGCATGTGAGTGGGGGAGAGGCAGAGAGAAAGAGAGATAGAGAATCCCAAACAGGCTCCAAATTCAGCACAGAGCCTGACTTGGGGCTCCACCTCACGACTATAAGATTACAACCTGAGCTGATATCAAGAGTGAGATGCCCAACCAACTGACCCATGCAGGCACCCCAATTTCTGCTTTATCTTGTTTCCTTTCTTCTACTTTCTTATGAGTTTCCTCTGTTGTTATTTTGCTAACTCTTTGACTTGGACACTAGAAAAAGAAAACTCTAAGCCCCACAATTGCAACTCAATGTGTCTACAAAAATAATAATGAAGTCAGAAGCTGTTGGCAAGCCTCAGTTAACAGCTTGAATGAACTTTGAAAACACAGAAAACTCTTAAAGATATTTTGAAAAGACAATCAAACTACGGTTACAAGTCACTTGATCAAAATGAAAGATCTCCAAATCTTTAATATCTATTCTTATAAAGTTTAGTTTATACCTATTCTTATTCTTTATCTTATCATTATATGTAATCAAGGTTCTAAGTCATGTTGAAATGTTTTAATAATTCCAAAGTATGTTTAATTTATAACTGTGAGTCCAACTGTGTTTGTTATAGGAAAGAAAGATTTTTAAAAATAATTGTTAAAGAAAAGGTATATACTCATTAAAAATGTAAACTGTATTTATCATAAGAGATTGGTTTTCTTCCTGATAATTACAGCATTATGTCCTCATATGCTAATCAACAAAACTGTTTAAAAGTATTATAAAAATTCTTTTAAAATATTCAGAACATAAATAGAACATTTATCTTTGTAAAAGCAATTTTATAATTAAAATATATAGTGATTGCAGCACTTGAACCTTAAAATACAATGCAAAATTTTCCTTTACTTAACAAAACTTACCTCAATAATTCCAATTTTTTTTCCTTTGTAATTTACACATTTAAGGCTATAAATGTCCTTCTAAGACTATCTAGATGCATCTTCAAGTTTTGATATATAATATTTTTATTATATTCATTCCACTATAAATACTTCCTAATTTCTATGATGATATTATTACTGTCTAATTAGCTATTTATTTGAATATATAGATTTTTTATTTTATGTTTTCTTAAAGTTTATTTATTTGTTTTGAGAGAAAGAAAGAGAGACAGCATGAACAGGGGAGGAACAGAGAGAGACAGAGAGAGAACCCCAAGCAGCCTCCACTCAGGGTGGAGCCCACTTAGCATGGAGCCCAATGCAGGGTTTGATCTCATGACCGTAAGATCATGCCTGAGCCAATATCAAGAGTTGGATGCTTAACTCTAGGCAACTCAAAAGTTTTTTAAACACAAACTTTTACTTTGCTATTTTCCAGCTTCACAGAATGGTCATCAGATAACATAGTCTGCTTGATAAACTACTGCCAAAGCTAAAGTTTATCTTATGATCTAGTGTATGGGGAACTCTTTTTAATGCTCTCTATGCACTGGAAATAAATATGCAGTGTTCTATACGTGTTCAGTACACCAAGCTGAAGCACTGTGTTGCTCCAAACATATGTAACTTTAATGTGTTTTGATTTGCCTGATCTACCAAGGGCTATGTATGTATATTAATTAAAATTACCCACAATAACCATGGCTTTATCAATTCTTCTCAATAATTTTATAAATATTTTTGTAGTATTTCTATGGTACATTATAATGCCCAAACAATTTAGTATCTCTAAAATCATTATTTGCCTTAAAGATCATTTTATCTTCTATTAATTTGCTATACTAGTATGGCCTTTGGCACTGATCAAAAAATTCCTAACTGACTGGTTAGATTAAGACTAAGCTTCTGGGGATCCCTGGCTAGCTTATTTGGTAGGGCATGCAACTCTTGATCTTGGGGTTGTGAGTTTGAGCCCCATGTTGGATAGAGAAATTATTTAAAAAATAAAATCTTTAGGGGCACCTCGGTGGCTCAGTGGGTTGAGTGTCTGTCTCTTGGCTTTGGCTCAGGTCATGATCCCAGGGTCATGGGATTGAGCCCTGTACTCCACACTCAGTGTGGAGCCTGCTTAAAATTCTCTCTCTCTCCCTCTGCTCCTCTTCCCCACTCATGCTCTCTCTGTATGTCTCTAAATCAATCAATCAATCAATCAATCAATGAATCAATAAAATATTCTAAAAAAAGGACTACATTTCTGGGGAAGGCTGAAACTGCAGTTAGATTACATATTAAGCACTGGTTTAGGGACTTGGCCTAAGAGATGCCACTTTGGGTCTATGTGTGGGGGGTAGGGTTGGAGAGGGTTAACAATTGAATTGTGTTGCTTTTCTGTGTTTTCTATTTCTCTTTTATGTGTTTAATTATTTTAAAAATACTTGTCTTCTAAGTGTCTACTGTTCTTGGGGGTCTAATTTTAATTTTCATTTCTATTGTTTCTGCTGACAGTTATAGTGAATTGTTTTTGTAACAGAATTGTGAACTTATGTTCAGCAGGGACTATATGGTCGAGATTTGAAAGTGTGTCCTTTCAGAGATTTGCCTTTGCTTCTGCTAGGCACCCTAGAGTACCATGTTCATGTTAATATATATGTCTGAAAAGTGAGAGAAGGGCAGAGTCCTAGACAAATTGTAGGAATAAAAGATTACCTTTAACTTTTCATCATAGACAGCTTGGCTTCATCCAAAAAGATATATTCCTTCAGGGCCTGGACCAGTTGTTTTTCCACAGAAATTAAGCCAGCCATGTACCCTACAAGGTGGCAGAAGAAAGAGCTAGTCAGGACTGGACAGATGATTTCTCAGCTTACTTCACTGGGGCAAAGGTGTGAGTGAAAGAAGCAGGTCCCCTGAGCCTGGAGAGAGTCAGTTCATTCTGGATCATGGGTCTTGCTGCTTAAGGAAATCTGAGAGTCCCACTGTTCTATCCTTTGGCTTCAAGAAAAAAGACATAGGAACTCACACAGGGATATTAAAGACTGTGGCCTATACAGTAAATCCTGTCATCAGGGAGGGACCTTTATCTCATCCTTTTACCCTATGCATAATCTTGTCATACGAATTTAGAAACACTGAGGGGTGGGAAATCATTTACATACATAGAAATAAACTCTGAAGTTTCAGGTAAGGAAGAAAAACAGCACAGAGGACTTTCATGCCATCAAATGTACTCTACCAACAGTCACTGATACTCCACAAGAAGCATGTGAACATTCCTAAAGGCCCTGAAAATACCTACACTTCATGAGGAAGAAATATACCACAAACACCTGTTCTCCACAAAAAAGCATTTGGTCTATTGAGGTCCAAGCCCTTAATGGCCTCTACAAGGAAAAGTATTAATGTCTGGAAACTCCTTTCTCACAGTCTTCTACTTATAGGTGAAAACATGTAGGGGAGACATTTCCACCCTGATAGAAAACAAGCAAGCTATTCCTGAGCTGGGAACCTAAGAATCATTTGTGCAGAATACTACCTTCCCTGGCCCATGCAAACAGATGTGAAGATCTCAGCCTATGTGCAGCCCAGGAAACCAAACCAAGCCACCACTATTATACACATTTGGAGTTTCATAATTCCAGGTGTCAACATCTGCAACGCATTTAATAACATTCATTAAACCACTATAGTTAGAAAAAGATTAATATGAGGAGTCAAATACAAATGCATAAACATGTGCAAGCACACACAACACATATCAAAGTAACTGACTTGCAGTATAAAAGCTTAAGGAAGATGAGTTAAGATGGCAGATCCTGGGTTTGTCTTGTCCCTGAAACATAGCTAGTAAGGTGACCCTGGGTTTGTCTTGTCCCTGAAACATAGCTAAATCAACATCAAAGCATTTTGAGCACCTAGAGAATAGATCTGAGGATTAACAGAAGGATCTGCATAATTTGAGGGAAAGAACTGAGTAGGTATGTGGTGTGAAGAAGTGAAATGGGGGAGAGAAAAGCCTCAGTGCCATAGAGGGGAGGAAGTCCTTTTCACAGAGAGGAGAGACAGAGGGAGAGAGAGAGAACAGCACATTGTATTCAGACAAGAAAACTACTCCTCTTGAAAGCAGCTAGAGATAAAGAATAAAAACACATAGAGGGAACTGCACAAGAAAACTTCCCCAAAACCACTGCTGAGGGGAGACGGAGAGGGTTTCAATACCACAGGTTTTTATGAACAGCGGAGTAGAGTCTGAAGTTTCAGAGGTCAGCTCCTGGCAGTGCTCCAGCGACAAAGCTGGGCACAGCCCTGGGAGCCAGCAGCGAGGTATGAGGATCCTCTTGGTTACACAAGGAGAAGCGGCTCCCCTGCTTAGAGTGCATTTGGTAGAGGCGATATGGCCTCTCCATGGGCAAAAGACCCAACTGGGCACTATCAACCTGCCAAGTTCACCCATATAGGAATAAAGACCCCAGCTAAGAGCAACAAACACTGGCACCAGATATGTGTTGCAATTTACCATAAACTCTGAGCCACCAGCACTGCTCAGTGTCACAACCACTTCCTGGGAACAAGCTGGTCACAGTGCAGCAAGACCCTCCCCCAGAAGATCAACGCAGGTCTGAACCACAGGGGTGTCTGAAGTGTGGAGTTCTGAAACACAGCCTTGCCTGAGATAAAATTCTGGAGAGAGGTGCCACGTGGTAGGCCGACAGATGGGACCCAGACAGGGGGAAGGCGGGGAGCTGACAGAAGCAGGGGATAAAGGAGGGGTGACTGATCACATATCTGTGAGGGTGCGAACTTCCTGCTTGGAGACTAAAGAGCAGGGTGAAGTCATTTTCCATTAGCCCACCAACACTAATGGACCCCAGTGAGTTAAACAGTGCCACCAAGTGGAATTTAGCCATTACACCAAGCCCCAGCCCCCCACCCAGGCACATCTCCACTAGGACAAGTCACAGAGCACCAGGAGACTCCCTCAAAAGACCAGCATTAAATCCCTTCCAAGAGCTTAGTTTACTAACCATAGATTACTGCAAGGTTTCAGCTCTAGGAGAAACTAGATCTAGCTTCATTTGGGTTTTTCTGTTTGTTTATTTGTTTGCTCTTTTTTTTTGTCATTTTTGTTTTAGTTGTTTTTCTTCTCTTTTTGTTTCTTGGCTACAGAAAGAGCACATTTTTTTATGGTATTTTATTTTATATTTAATTTTTAATTTTATTTTCTCTCTTCTCTTTTTGCTATCAAGCTTTTCTTAACAAGACCAAAACACACCTAGGATCTAGCTTCCTCTCTTTGATATTTTTATTTTAAAAATTTTATTTCACTCCATTTTTTTCTTCCTCCAAAATGGTGACACAAAGGAATATACCTCAAAAGAAAGAACAGGAAGAAATGACGTTCAAGGATTTAATGAATACAGATATAAGTAAGATGTCTGAACTAAAATTTAAAACAATTATAAGGATACTAGCTCGGATGAAAAAAACATAGAAGGCACCAGAGCATCCCTTTCTAAGAAATAAAGTGTATTCAGGCCAAAATTAAAAATGCTATAAGCAAGATATAAACCCAAATGGAGGCCATAAAGATGAGGATGGACGAGGCAGAGAAGTGAATTAGTGATACAGAAGATAAAATTATGGAAAATAATGAAGCTGAAAAGAAGAGGGAAACAAAGATTAGGGATCATGAAGACAGATTTAGGGAATTCAGTGATTTATTAAAATATAATAACATTCATATCAAGGGAATTCCAAAAGATGAGAGAGAGAAAAAGGAACAGAAGGTTTATATGAACAAATTATAGCTGAAAACTTCCCTAATCTAGGTAAGAACACAGACATCAAAATCCAAGAAGCACAGAAAACTTCTATTAAATTCAACAAAAGCCAGCAATTGCCAAGCCATACCAAAGTCAAATTCGCAAACTATGCAGACAAGGAAATAATCCTGAGAGCAGCAAGGGAAAAAATATCCTTAACCTACAAAGGAAGACAGATCACGTTAGCACCATATCTGTCCACAGAAACTTGTCAGGCCGGTAAGGAGTGGCAAGATACATTCAACATGCTGAATGAAAAAAATATACAGTGAAGAATGCTCTATCCAACAAGGCTGTCATTCAAAATAGAAGGAGAGAGGGGCGCCTGGGTGGCTTAGTCGGTTAAGCGTCCGACTTTCGCTTAGGTCATGATCTCGCGGTTTGTGGGTTCGAGCCCCGCGTCCGGCTCTGTGCTGACTGCCAGCTCAGAGCCTGGAGCGTGTTTCAGAGTCTGTATCTCCCTCTCTCTGACCCTCCCCTGTTCACGCTGTCTCTCTCTATCCTAGAGAGATAAAATAAATAAATAAAAATATTTAAAAAAAAAAAAATAGAAGGAGAGATAAAGAGTTTCCCAAACAAACAAAAACTAAAGGAGTTTGTGATCACTAAACCAGCCCTACAAGAAATGTTAAAGGGGACTCTGATTAGAGGGAATTAAAAAAAAAAAAAAAAGACCAAAAGCAACAAAGACTATAAAGGACCAGAGAGCCTCACCAGAAACACCAACTCTACAGGTAACATAATAACACTAAATTCGTATCTTTTAATAATCACTCCAAATGTAAATGGACTAAATGTTCCAATTAAAAGACCTAGGGTAGCAGAATGGATAAAAACACCAAGACCCATCTATATGCTTCCTACAAAAGAATCATTATAGACCTAAAGACACCTCCAGATTGAAAAGGAGGGAATGGAGAACCGTCTATCATGCTAATGGATGTCAAAAGAAAGCTGGAATAGCCATCCTTATATCAGACAAACTAAATTTTAAAACAAAGACTATAACAAGAGATGAAGAAGGGCACTAATTCATAATTAAGGGATTTATCCATCAAGAATACCTAACAATTACAAATACGTATGCCTCCATATTCAAGCATTCAAATATATAAATCAATTAATAACAAACATTAAAAACTCATTGATAATTATACAATAAGAGTAGGGGACTTTAACACCCTTGCTTACAGCAATGGACAGATCACCTAAGCACAAAATCAAAAAGGAAACAATAGCTTTGAATGACACACTGGATCTGAAGAACTTACTAACAGGTATATTCAGAGCATTTCATCCTAAAGCAGCAGAATACACATTTTTTTCAAGTGCATGTAGAACACTCTCTAGAAGAGATTACATACTGGGTCACAAATAAATCAGCCCTTAACAAATACAAAAAGATCAAGATCATACCATGCCTATTTTCAGATCACAACACTGTGAAACTTGAAGTCAACCACAAGAAAAAAATTGGAAGGCCTTCAAGTACACGGAGGTTGAAGAACATCCTACTAAAGAATGAATAGACTGGGACACCTGGGTGGCTCAGCTAGTTAGGTAACTGACTCTTGGTTTCAGCTCAAATTACAATCTCACGGTCATAGAATTGAGCCCTGCATCAGGCTCCATGTTGGGTGTGGACCCTGATTTAGATTCTCTCTCTTTCAGGGTCCTTGGGTAGCTCAGTCAGTTAAGCATCTGACTCTTGATCTCAGCTCAGGTCATGATCTCATGGTTTGTGAGATCAAGCCCCACATTGGGCTCTGCACTGACAGCACAGAGCCTGCTTAGAATTGTCCCTCTTCCTCCCTCTCTGCCCCTCTTCCACTCATATTCATTCTCTCTCTCTCTCTCTCTCTTTCTCTTTCAAAATAAATAAACCTCTAGTTAAAATAATTTCTATAATAATTATCACACTTGCCTCAAAGAGGAAATGTAATAAATTGTATATATTGTTTTAATTTTGGATGAAGATAGCTTTTCCATT